AACGTAAACTTTATATCACCACATAAGCGCCTTGACTTTGATTAACTTTTAAATGCTGTTTTTAATGTTTATGTATACTTTGATCATGAGGTATGCATGAGGTTTTTACCACCCGGAAATAGTGTGGTACTAGGTGGTCTCGAATGCAGGCAGGGCGCGGGGTTCACCTGTCCTACCTGAGCAGCGCGAGGAAGGCGGCCGGCTCCACATCAGGCAGCTCGATTTCAGCAGAGGTCGTGGCCATCCCACCGTTAAACATGGCATCAAAAACGGCACTGCCAGCGGCCAGGACGAACTTATGGGCCGGTATCCTCTGGGCCTGTCTTCCTTTCCCGACTATGAACCTGACGTCGCTGAGAAGCTCGTTGTTGAAGAGGAAGGCAAAGCGCTCCTTTAGGGACCTCTTCGTCGCCTGCCAGTTGTACATGGGCTCCCGGTGAAGGCCGAGGACGGGCGGGGAGCCGGACGGGGTAGGAGCGGAGGCTGGGACGTTGGAGAGCGCTGCTGGTGCTCCGCAATGAGCCGAATTGGATGCTGCCTCCTGACCGTCATGGTTTGACGGCAATCCGCCACCACTGCTCCCGGTCGCCATAACAACACACTGTTTTTCAGTGTACTTTCACAGAAACGGCCTCGTTATTGACACGCAGACACGCACTCGCCGTAATGTTTTTGTTGTTATTCATTTACGTGGTATCCATCGCAGCAGACGCCATCACTCATCACTAGCTACCTGCTAGCTACAGAGTCTCCGGAAGTGGCGTGGGTATACTTCCTCCAAAATACTTTTTTTTCTCCTGAAACTTTATTGTTCACTTCTAGATAAAAAAAAAAAACGAACAAAGAAAAAACTTGAACAGTGTCTTAACATACAGATTTTTTTCCTTCTTTTTATCTATATGACCGTTTTGGGCACAATACAATCGGCAAATATGTTAAATAGAATAGAATTAAAATAATAAAATTCTTATTAAAAGCAGCATTTACATTCAAACGTGGACGGACGTGTGAGCAAGAGGCACTACACTCTATTTTTTAATTTTTAAAATATTTTTTGATCATTACACAATTGGCGCATTAATTCAAACTTAAAATGTAAACAAATAAATAAATACATGTGTAATTTATAAAAACAAATAATAAGCCATTAAAAATTTATTTATAAAGGTCAGGCATCAATTGGAAACTTTTTTATCAGATATTAGCTGCTGTATTCTATAATTTTTAAAACCCTTTTTTAATTATTAAACATAAAGTTAAAAATTGTCCCTCGTACTAAATACTCATTCAGTATTTATTGGCAAATATTTGCTTGAATACCCTATTCACTATAGTTATTCAAACAATTACAACGCATATAGATCAACCCTCTGTGAACTAAGAGAATCATTTATCATTACTTTATTATAAATGTTATGCCAAAAGGGTTGAAATTGGAGTAATATGGCTGAAGGGGTATCTTACTTTTATTTGTAGCTCATGACATAAATGACATAAATAAATACTCAGGACCACCAAAATACTGATTAATAATATTTTATATGCTTTTAACACATGTTTGTAATACTTGTTCTATATGCATGGTAACAGTGTTACAAATCGGTGCTACGATTAGTGTTTTCTTAGAAAAAAGATGCAGCTGTGAATTGCAATAGACTGTGAATTAATAAATGCAGGTGTACTAATAAAGAAATAAAACGCTGAAATATAATTGTCTTCTTTTGGCTAGTGAAACACTTAACCCAGTCAGAAAAGATTAGAAAATGCTAAATATGTCAAAGAAGACTGACGTTTTGTCGACCAGTGGTAGCTATCAACACATGGATGAAAGTGCCACTTCATCTTTGTCATGTTGTCTCATGGTCTCACTGCTTGTCTATTCTTTTGTCAGGTCGAATAGGTTTCAGTAACAGGACTGTTAGATTCTTCTTTAAAATATGTCAATGTTTAATAAATTGGTTTAAAAATCACAAGAGACGCTACAAAACAAAATGATGGATTTATAACTTATTTTAAATCGTATATTTGACATGTATTTGGTTTTCAAGAAACTAGCCAAAGTGAAAAATGCAATTTAGGTTTTCTCAAGAATAATATCTTTGGATAATTGTTTTCAACAACTGGGTTTAAATTTAGTCTCAGAACAAAAGTAATTTACACACCAAATGTATGTTTTAGTATGTTGCGCTTTTTTTTGTTTTATCCACTTTTCTTTATTTTCCTATTATAAACCTCCTCATCCTTGCTTGACGTTTTCCAGTTGACCGCTGGGTGTCAGTGTCTCTTCGTTAAAAACAAACAAACAAACAAACAAACAAACAAACAAACAAACAAACAAACAAACAAAACCGTTTTTTTTCACAGATGGTATAATATATATTTTTGTTAAGCACAGTGAAGCTGCCCGAGAAAAAACATCTTAATTTTTCGTTTAGGACGAATATAAAGTTGTGGCGTCCCTGTCCTATTTTGTTATTTTTTCTAATTTTTTGTATTTTTCATGGACTATCATATAAATTCATTTGCACAGCCTCTAAATGTATTATTTTACTATTCCCTCCAGCTCAGTATTTGGATGTATAGAATAATATGAATGAATGAAAAAAAAAATCGCCACTTCCATCAAATCAGAGATTTAAAAAAAAAAGCAAAAAAATGTTTCAAAAAGAAGAAGAAGAGAAAGGCACGAGAATTGTTAATTTGCTACATTAAGTTCTGCAGAAAGTCGGGGTTTTTTTTACGTTTCTTTCCAGGTGAGGGCCCGCCCCCACCATCTGAAAGCTGAAGCTCGTTTGAGTGTAGTGCATGTGTAGGTAAACAGAGAAAGAGAGAGAGGAGAGCAGGCAGACAGACCAGACAAGATTGAGCATGCATGCGGGAGCCGAGCTCAAAGTTTCTTTTTTTTCCGGCAACACTCTGACTTTCCTCCCATCCTGTGAAATGTGACTCGCAAGCTAAGCATGAACATTTTCTGGGGCTGATTTGTTTAATTTAAGATTTTAAGTTCTCGCTCAGACAAATCGCTCGGTGCGCAATGAGCGCGTCTGCGGGAACGGGAGTGTTCCTGCTCTCCCTGATGTCTATCCCCATCTGCTATTTATTCAATTCTCTCATTTACAGCAACAGGTACGTGGAAACTGGTTCACATATTAACTGTTGGACTTCCGACTTCCACCATCAGCAGCGAGGAGTAACTACTCTGAGAATGATTTATCTGCTTTTTTTCCCCATGCAGTGCTGAAGCTTTCTTCTTCGCTTGGTGCACAACAGTTCTTGTTCTGGCCATTTCAGCTCGTTTTATGCTTAAAAAGAAGGCTCCAGTAGATCCACTTTTTTATGGTAGGATTTCTCAAATGCACGTTTCTTGCTTTGACCAACAGCGACCGAGGGAAGTGTTCATTACAGATCAAAACTCGAGTTAGGACTTTCTGCATATTGTACCTATAAAAACCTGTTGCAGTATTTAGAAAGCAGTGATTTTTAAAGCAGCACGTAATGTTTGCAAGTTGTCCTGTCTTTAATTAGAAATTAATATATCAAATATACATCTGTGAAGTGTATGCAGTGCATGCATTCCTCAGTGTGGTGAATCTGATCATTGGACTGGAGCAAGACAACATCATTGATGGATTTGTGACATTTTACCTCAAAGAGGCAAGTGTTGCTCTATTGTGTCCAGATTATGAATGCCCCCACTTCCTCACAGTTTTACTGATAAATCTACATCGTGTTTCAGGCAGATCCACATGTCAACACAGCACATGGGCACATGATATCGTACTGGGATGGCTGTGTG